AAATAAATAAATAAATATTTCCTTAATTGGGTTTTTATTTTTTAATTTTTATTTATTTTATTTATTTATCTTTGAGACAGAGTCTTACTCTGTCACCCAGGCTGAAGTGCAGTGGCGGAATCTTGGCTCACTGCAACCTTCCTCTCCTGGGTTCAAGTGATTCTCCTGCCTCAGCCTTCCAAGTAGCTGGGATTACAGGTGCCCACCACCACACCTGGCAAATTTTTTGTATTTTTAGTAGAGACAGGGTTTCGCCATGTTGATCAGGCTGATTTTGAACTCCTGACCTCAGTTGATTTACCCGCCTCTCCTCCCAAAGTGCTGAGATTACGGGCATGAACCACCGCACCTGACCCTCAATTGGGTTTTTAGTTAAACGTGTTTCCTGAAATCTCAGAACGGTCCAAGGAGACTAGTTGTGGAGGGACCAGAGGCTGTGCGTTTCCCCCGCAACGTCTGTCTTTGGGTCTCTGCTGAAATTCAGGTAGCGGAGTGGGTGTGTGCAGTACATCTCATAGATGCGTAACCCTTCTGTTTTTCCAGTGGCTGTAACATCCCGTCCTGACTGCTACTGGGGCCGTAACTGCCGCACTCAGGTGAAAGCTCACCACGCCATGTGAGTGCAGCTGGGGGCACAGGCGTCAGCTGCAGGGTGATAAACGAGTTCACCGCCTGCTTACAAATACGCTGATATGGTCATTATCCTTCTCTCAGGTTGCATCCTTTAGGAACCGCATCTTCATTTAGAAATCCTGCTCTTCCTTTATCCCTTCATTTCATGCAGTCTTATTTCCATCTTCCACCTCTGTGTCTTCCTGTCCGGAGCTGGTTTATCTGTCGTCTGAGGCATCCGGGGCACACCCCATCGTTTCAGGCTTAGCCATTTCTAAGTCGGAGGCTGTAGTCTCTGAGGGCCTCAGGCCCCCCTCGCATAGCGCTGCGCAGCTGGGTTCTGGTCCGTACCGTGAGCAGGCATTTGTGATCGCTGTCACATTGTCACCCTCACGTGGTGTCTTTCCCAGCCTCCTTAAAGGAGGTTCGCGGCGCCATCTGCATTGCCTGGGAGGTGTGGGTCAGGAGGCATCTCTTAGGTTAGGTGATTGTGTAAATCACTCCCGTGGCCAAGGAGTTCAGATGAAAGTGATGGAGACAGTGCCGTCAGGACGAGATGCTGCGAGGACTCAGATGAAGGTGCCTCCCTCGCAGGGATTTTGTGGAATACAAACCTTGCTTTGTGTTTGAGCACAAACAGCACATGGAAGAGACCATGTTGTTACAAAAAAAGATTTCACTGTTGACTGGCACACAATTTTCAGTAGCAATGTATATCAGGAGAGCAGAGCCATGCTGGTCCTCCTTGCCACGGTCTGTGGAGAGGAAAGGTGGCCACAGGCCTTCCAGCTTGGTGTGTCTGCCTCAGCCCTGTCAGCAGATGCCACAGGGATGCCCGAGGAGGTGCAGCTTTTATTCTCTTCTCTTAAAAAAATATCTAAGATGTTTACAGTTCTTTCTTTTTTTTTTTTTTTTTTTAAATGGAGTCTCGCTCTGTCTCCCAGGCTGGAGTGCAGTGGTGCGATCTCAGCTCACTGCAACCCCATCTCCTGGGTTCAAGCGATTCTCCTGCCTCAGCCTCCTGAGTAGCTGGGACTACAGGTGCTCGCCTCCACATTAGGCTAAATTTTTTTTGTAGTTTTAGTAGAGACGGGGTTTCACCATGTTGGCCAGGCTGGTCTCGAATTCCTGACCTCAAGTGATCTACCCACCTCGGCCTCCCAAAGTGCTCGATTACAGACATGAACTACTGTGCGTGGCCAGATGTTTCACTTCTGTTTCAAAATTTTAAAAGGGAAAAAGAAGTTTACCTTTGGGGGTTAGTTGCTTTGATTTTGTAGAAAGCACACGCTCTTTCTCAGATGGCTCTTTCGGTGTATGGTTTCAGAATGGGTTTATTTGAATGCCTCTCCAGTGCTCTCGTGTAATTTATTTGAATGCTTCTTTGATGCTCTTTTGTGTAATTTGGCCATTTTCTCCCGGCAGGAAATTCAATCATATCTGTGAACAGACAAGGTTCAAAAACTAAGCATCCAGAGGCCCCGAGCAGCTTTCAGCACTGAAGGGGAAGAGAGCGTGTTTTTAAAATACAGAGACAAACATGTCAGGGCGTTTTCACGGCCCCCTGAGGGACGCAGGGTCTCCGGCAGGTGCTCTGGGGTGGCTCTTCTGTGGAGCTTTACCCTCTGAGTGAGACCCTCCCCAGAGCCCTGGGGGCCACAACCCGCCCTCCTGGCGAGTGCTGGGTGGGGCTCGTGGTGGCGTGAGCAGCAGAGACGAAGCCTTTCCGTGACACGCAGCCGTCCCGCCCAGAGGGGCAGGTTTGCTCTTTTGTATGTTTTCCGTGACCACAGGTAAAGCAGAAGTCTGTTTTCAGGACGAGTTTCAAGGGAGAAAGGGGACAGTTTATCAAAAACATTGTTTCAGGAGAAGGGAGCATAAGTTTACAGCCTACAGGATGTACACAATATTCTGCTGTTGGGAAAACCACAGCATTTTATATATTTTTTATTTTAATAGGTTTGGTGCTTATCTTCTAATAAGATTTAAATATCACAAACTGTAGCACAAATAATATAATTTATAATTTACAAATTGACTAAAATTGGGTATAGTATGGTATTTGAAAGAATAAGCATATGCTTCTGTTTATTGAAAAAAAACTTCCAGTGTCCAAAACTGCTAACCCTCGACGTGGCCGTCAAGTTAGTCGCTCCTTGCTAACCTGTGGGTGACCACGGCCCCAGGCCCGGAGCTGGACGCAGGGCCCAGGACGCGCCACTCCCTTCACGGCCCCGAGCCCGGGGCTGGACGCAGGTCCCAGGACGCGCCGCTCCCTTCACGGCCCCGAGCCCGGGGCTGGACGCAGGTCCCAGGACGCGCCGCTCCCTTCACGGCCCCGAGCCCGGGGCTGGACGCAGGTCCCAGGACGCGCCGCTCCCTTCACGGCCCCGAGCCCGGGGCTGGACGCAGGTCCCAGGACGCGCCGCTCCCTTCACGGCCCCGAGCCCGGGGGCTGGACGCAGGGCCCAGGACGCGCGGCTCCCTCATGCTGCCCGGGCCCTTCCTCCAAGACCCTACAGAGCCTGAGGGGCACCTTGGCTTCCGCCTGTGCTAGGTTTGCCATGTCAGCTGGAATAATACTTGAAATTTTGATTTTTGGAAAAAAAAGTTTTTTATATTTTGTTGAAATCACCTGTTATCCTTGTTTGCAAACTGGTAACTTTTTTGCTTCTCAGGAATACAGTTTTCAACTGTTGACTTGCTCTTGATAGGAACTGAGAAGCAGCACTCTGTCTCTGCGTTTGTGGAGGAAAGCCCTCTCTTTTGCATATTCTAATAAATGAGCCGCCTTCGCTCCTCCCCTCTCGTGTTGGGCTCGTGTGTGGGGCTGCCTCACTTCTCCACGCGAGGCAGGCAGGCCCTGTGCAGAGTGAGCGCCGAGCACCTCACTGCTAGTGATGGTCACTCTGTCACCTGCTGTCCCTCAGTGTCTCCATGGAGTCAGCCTGACCTGAGGTTGGGGCCTGAAGTCCGAGCATCCTGTGAAACCTGCTCAGGTCTCTTCATTTGGCCAGTGCTGGGAAACCACAACCTGTTCATCCAGTGTGGAGGCTTTGTCTTCAGCTGAGCACCAGATGAAGCCGCCATGCAGAGACCCAGAGTTTGTGCAGGGGCGGGGCCAAGAGGGGGAGGTCTTGAGTTTGTGCAGGGGTGGGGCCGAGAGGGGAGGTCCTGAGTTTGTGCAGGGGTGGGGCTGAGAGGGGAGGTCCCGAGTTAGTGCAGGGGTGGGGCCGAGAGGGGAGGTCCCGAGTTAGTGCAGGGGTGGGGCCGAGAGGGGAGGTCTTGAGTTTGTGCAGGGGCGGGGCTGAGAGGGGAGGTCCCGAGTTAGTGCAGGGGTGGGGCCGAGAGGGGAGGTCTTGAGTTTGTGCAGGGGCGGGGCTGAGAGGGGAGGTCCTGAGTTTGTGCAGGGGTGGGGCCGAGAGGGGAGGTCGGCATTCACCCATGGCCGCCCTTTGTCTGTCTTAGATCAGATGATATTCACTCTACCCCTTCCCATCTCCAAAAAGTAGAAACAAGAACACTCGCCCTGTGGAGGACGCAGAGCTTTGCTCAGGAAGGGCAGGGCAGCTCAGAGAGCCTCAGGGCTCCAGGTGTCCTAGGGACTCGCTCCTGCCTCCTCAGTCCTTCAGAGAAGTCCATTTCCGGGCCCACTGCGAAGGGCGTTTTTGCCTGGAGCAGTTGGAGCAGAGCTTGGGTTTGGCTCTGATGTGAGGGAGGAGGCCTTGGGACCGGGGCAGTTACCCCCCTGGTGTGGTAAGGAGCCGTGTGTTATGGAGGCAGGTGGCCGTGAACTCATCCCGTGTTTTCATGAGCTTCTGTACTTCCTTGTCCTCAAGACCCAGCCATCCCACCCAGCAAGACTGACGCACTGTGGTTGTTTTGGAGCCCTGCTGTCCTCGTGGGGTGGCTGCTTGGGTCATCCACAGGCTTTCTGGAGGACAGCCTGGCAGCCGCTGCAGATCCCACTGCGTCTGCCTGGCTCCTGGGCCCAGCCTTGGAACAAACCCAGGGCAGGGCTGCAGCTGCCCGCTGGCCCCACGGACCGTCTCCCCATGTGCTCCTCACCTGCGGCTCCCTCTGTGCTCCCTGGTGCCCCTCAGAAGCAGGGGTCAGCCCCGCCCACCTCTCCGTGTGCTGCCCAGGCTCCAAGCCAGGGACGGGGGCCTCAGGTTCTAGGTGAGCCCATCCACCCCAGTGAGACCTCCCTGAGATGGCCTCTGTGAGGGCTCTCGACTGCAGCCAGGAAGTCCGGGCAGATTGGCTTAAAACAGACTGGGGGATTCAGGCCAACCCTCCTCCCTAGGCCAGCTACAAAGGCTGTTTTAAATCTGCTTTAAGTCATCTTAATGATCTCAGGGCCAGCAGGATGGGAGAGATCGGGCCCAGGTGTGAGAGAGCCAGGGGCCCAGGGGCTGCTCCCAGCACAGCGCGGCCTTCACCCCAGGTATGTGGCCAAAGCAGAGAGGCAGCTGAGTTTGGAAGGGGCTTCTGCCAGCCAGGGGTTCCTGGTGACAGCCCCCCCAGCTTCAGGTTGGCAGCCTGGAGAGAGCAGAGCAATGCTGGCCCTGAAGAGGCGCCAGTGTCACTGCCAGGGCCACTAGGTCGCCGGGAGCCCTGCACTGGGAAGGGAAGGAAAGCATGAGAACGAGGGGATTTAGGAAGCTGGGAGTAGATCTTCCCTCCCGCCTGGCTTGATGGGAAACCAGAAGGCTGTCCCCGGGGCCGTCCCTGCCCTCTGCCTCCACGTGGGCTCTGCTTTGGCATGGCGTGCACGCCAGCTCCTGCGCCTTCGGACGCAGCTGTGTGGAGAGGCCGGGTCTTGCCTCCCTGAGGACGGACGGCCACGTGCAGAGTGCAGCCTAGCTCTGCAGACCTGCGCGCTGACCAGACCGGCAGCAGGACGGAGCCAGGTGATCTTCGGGGGAGCCACCTCCAGGAATGCCTAGTGCTGGTAACTGGTAGACGCCCTTATTCAAGCATCCTCTACACTTAGAATTAAGTTACACTGAAAACAAAGGCAATGAGTGCTCAGGATGCACCACTTTCTGGTTAGTTCACCGCACCTGCCTGTTACTGCCGCCCGAGGGGTGTGCTTCTGGGGCCGGTGTGGAAGGGCGTCCCTTCCAGCCTTACCCACGTGGCCTGGTGGGAATGGCCCCTGGGAGGAGTGTTTGCACTGTGGAAATTGGTAAATGCTTCAAATCAGGGTGGTTTTTAATTGCTTTTGTTTTCTTCTGGAGAGAAGGTTGTTAAACACCAGCACAGTGCTGCACCAGGCAGCCAGCACCAGGCAGCCAGCATATAATCCTGAGAAACAAGTAGTTGTTTAAACCACTGCATTTGGAGTGGTTTGTTACATAGTAATGAATAACCATCTCATGGTCCTTGAAGGCCCAGCACATACAACCCCTGCCTCCACCCCTCAGAAAAACCTCTTCTCCCTACCTGCTCCTCCTGGAGCCCCTGGGGTGTTCCTCTGCTTCTCCAGCCAGCCAGCTCCTTCCCACAACCAGCCCCAGGTGCCAGCCCCTCCCCCTCCTGCAGCCTCTCCTCATTCAGGTTCCAGCTCAGCCGACTCCTGCAGGGCTGCCCCCACCCCCTACCCCGCCAGCCAGTCTAGTTTCCCCCCAGCACCTGTCACTGTCAGAAAGGAAACATCTGTTTACCGTTTGTCTCCCCCCTCTGAAAAATAGAGCAGGGATCTTGCCTGTCTGCCCGCTGTTGTTTCTTTGTCTGAAATGTTTGGCCCCAGGGCGGCATCTCCTGATCCCTGGGTGACCAGTTGGCTGCCAAACGGTGAAGGTCCTGACGAGCTGTCCCCTGCGCTTGAAATCTTTCCCGCGGCACAAACAGTCGCTCCTTCCTCTGTCACTCACTTTTTGTGGTTGTCTCCTGAGGCGGTGAGTCTAGATGGTGGGGTCTTTTATCTGTGTTCCTCACACAGAGCAGACACTTGGTTGTGCATGTGTGTGGAAGGGATGGACACAGGAGAGAATGTTGAAGGCCATTAGACCAGGAATGAGGGCTGTGCACTGTGCTGGGAGCCTGGCATTTTAAGAGCCTTGCCCTGTGCTGGGAGCCTGACATTGTGAGGGCCCTGTGCTGTGCTGGGAGCCTGCATTTGTGAGCCACGCCTCGCCCAGTGGTGGCCTTGAATGTGGGTCCACTCTGGCTGCTGGATCAAAACGCCGCAGAACAGACGGCTTAAACAACAGAAAGTATTTTCTCACAGTTCTGGGGCCTGGAACTCTGAGATCAGGGTGTCAGAGGGGCCGGTTCCTCTTTGGTCTGTCTCCTTGGCTTGTGGACAGTATCTTCTCCTTGAGTCCTCACATCGTCTTCTCTTCATGCGTGTCTGTGCCCTAATCTCTTCCTGTGAGGACACCAGTCCTATTGGATTAGGGCCCGCCCCAGTGGCCTCATTTTATCTTAATCATCTCTTTAAAGACCACACATACTAAAACTGGATACAGAGAAGATTCGCGTGGCCCGTGTGCAGGCATGACACGCAAATTCATGACGTGTTCCATGTGTGCAGATACAGTCGCCTCTGAGGTCCTGGGATTTAGGACTTGAACATATTGTAACACTTTGCCATGAAACCTCGCACGCCACGGGGTTTTGTAAAAATTGGGTGGTCTTGTTTGTTATTTGGCAAACCCCACATGCTGGATACTGTTGACACCCCGTGGTGGGCCGAGCTATGTCCACCTGTCCCGCCACCACGGATGTCTGTATCTGATCACTTGAGTCTTGCACAGTAAAAGGGGCTTTGCAGATATGGTGGAATCAAGGACCTTGAGATGAGCGGAGGATCCTGGATTATCCTGTGGGCCCCGTGTGCAATTGCAGGAGTCGTCGTAAGGAGGAAGCAAGAGGCCGGGCGCGGCGGCTCACGCCTGGAATCCCAGCACTTTGGGAGGCTGAGGCGGGCAGATCAAAGAGGGAAGCAAGAAATCAAAGGCAGGAGGCAGGGAGAGGAGGCTTGGTGACAGCAGAGGCCGGGGCTTGGCGACAGAGAAGAGGCGGGAGGGATGTGCTTTGCAGGGGGAGCAAGGGCCTTCAGCGGGAGAGGAGGGCAGGATGTCAAACAGAAAAGAAAACAGATCTCCCTGCAA